TAGTCTAGGTTTTTAATTACAATGTGATAATTTTGAGTTATAACATTTTTTAGACATTTTTAATATTAAACGTCACAAATTTGATATTACTATGACGTTCTTTTTAACATTTTTATGACGTTTTTGGTTCTAAAAATGCAGTGATGAAAGATGACCAATCCCCCGGACTTTCTGCTATAATTTTTTATAAATCAGACTCGAAAGTGTATTTATTAATTCTACGCATTTTTTGGGGTGGTTTTCCTTAAAATAATTTTAGTCGATACAAGAGATGTGACCTATTTAAATTATTCTTCATTTGTTTTTGCTAAAAATTAACCAATACGCTGTAAACTAATGAATTTATCGTAATATCCAAGTAATGGGTACTGAAATACCCAAAATACGCAAATGTATCACAAAGTACTTTCAATGAAGACTGTGCAAGTTGTAAACATAGTTCATTGAAATTTAAAACGGTGGGTATATTAAATATATGTCGCAGGTGTAAGAGATTCGTTTAAAAAAATCGCTGAGAGCAAAATCTGGAATGTATGTGAGGTAGATGACCAGTTGAAAAAAAAATTGCAGTCAATTGTTTTTTTTTTGTCCCGCCTTCTAGACATACTCCTATTTTTTACTTTTAATGTAAAAAAAATGTCGGGATTTTTTAAATACTGTTTTCCAATGAGATCAGTGACAAACTTAATTTATAAGGAATGGTATTGTATGTAATTATTAAGTAATTTTGTTAGGTTTGGCATTGATCTAACTGTTGTGCAGTATATGTATATTTCGGTAAATATCGATGAAACTGATTATGTACAGATTTTCTTGAAATTTTTATATTGACTGTCCGTTTTGATCGATGTCTGCTCCTGGAATTCAAATTTTAATATTGAATTTTGTGCATTTGTTGCTTTTAAAGCATATTCCTCAATCTCACACCTGCCTTAGTGTTAGATGCACTCTCCGTTTTGAATATATATACAAAACTGACTCGGAACATTCTAAGAAACTGGTCATGTCATGTAATTTTTTTCTCAGAATATTAACATTTTGTTTTTTATTATGTACTGTATATAAATATTATTGTATTATTATATTAACTATGTATAACTTACAACTGTAAATACACAGAATTTATTTATAAACGTTTATTCATTTCAAGAAGCCCCTTTATTCAACCTTAAATAGACACAAATCAACATGGATGCAAGAAAAAAGTGCGGAAATATCGTTGACTACAAAATTATGTCGTTTTCATATGCCAAATATGAATTTATGATGTTCCCTTGCTTCAAAAGTGACACAACTCAAAATTCACATGTTTTGAGTTAATACCAATCAAAAAAGTTAAACCAATTTGATGATTGATATCGAATTTTACCAATCACATTCATGGTATCAGCTCAAAAGATGTGAATTTTGAGTTGTGTCACTTTTGATGCAGGGGTGAGATTTTCGAGAACGTCCGTTTTATAGTTTCTTGTTCGTGTAAGACAATGATCTTGTATTTTAAAATTGTTTAAATCTTTTTTGGAAATAAGCCTTCTATTCAAACAATAACAATCTTGCTTTGATAAAATTTAAAAAAATGTTTACAACTTATCGCTCATTTGCGAGAATACAGACACAACTCAAAAAAACAGTTCGATATAATCAAGTTTAATTGACTGATTCAACAGGCTAAAACATATGAAAAGTGTCAATGGTAGTATCGCCATCAAGCGAATACCACTATAACTACAGAAGTTTCGTTATTTCTATATAAAGAATGTAGCTTTTAAATTATGTTTGTACAATAATTTCGGAATTGAATACTTTTGAATTATGTCGGTATTCTCGGAAATGAGCTGACATTTTCATTAATAATGTCCTAATTTGACTTGGGTCACTGTTGAAAAAATGTTTAGTTTATTTGAAATGACATAAAATTGCTTATTTTGAATTATGGTTGAATAAAGTCATTTCTTCCCGTAATACAAAGTCGTGAACCTATGAAGAGTGACACAATTCTAGTTGTGCTTCGATAGCTAATGAGACAAGACCCACAATTTTCGGCTAGAGCAAATGAGCGTTATTTTTTTTTAATTTGGTGTCATCGGCATCGACCGCTAAGGTCATTAACCTCGTTTTATGTGTAGGCTTTGTTACTGTTTCCCAGCGCCACTTTGGTAACAGCACTGTTAATTAGAACCCAACAGTGGATGACCGTCCTAATAATATTGCCCTAATTTGAGTTGTGTCACTGTTGAAAAAAGTGTTCTTAGTTTATTATTAATAAAATGACTTATTTTGATTTGTGTCTCTCTAGCTGAAAATTGTCTTGTCTCATTAGCTATCGGAGCATAACTAGATTTGTGTCACTCTTCATCATAATCTTACTTTGTATTACGGGAAAAAACACCCCTTAATTCAATCTCAAATCGACATGGACATAAAAAAAAGTGCGGATATGTCGTCGACTACCAAGTTATGACGTTTTTATATGTCAAATATGAATTTATACCGTTTATAAAAGTCAAGCCAAATTTTAACTACATATCGCACACTTGCTTTAAAAGTGACACAACTCAAAATTCACATCTTTTGTGTTAATACTATGAATGGGTTAGTAAGCAACCCTACATCAAAAAAGTTAAACCAATTTTGACGATTGATGTCGGGTTGATTAATAATCACATTCAACGCAAAATATATGATTGATGTGAATTTTGAGTTGTGTCACTTTTCAAACAAGTATGTGATAAGTTATAAGTTTACATATCGGTACAAAATAATAGTGACATAACTCAAAAACAGATATTCGAAAACTTCCATTTTATAGTTTCTTGTAAGACTTGTCATGATCTTGCATTTTAAATCTTTTTAGGAATAAATATATAAATGTTCACCTTGTATTCAAATAATAACCCCAACAATATATTTTTATGAAATATGACGATCTTTCAGAAAAGTATATTTCACATCATATTGATCTTTTCAACAATAATGTCTTAATTTGACTTGTGGCACTGTCGAAAAAATATTTGTTTATTTTTAATAAAATGGCCAAGTCGAATGTCAAAATTGCCTCATCAGATACTTTAGGGCTTTAGGCTTTCAAATGCAAAAATTGGTCAAAATGTTTTAGCTAGATTCTAAAATATAATCCAAAAGTGCCATTATAATCGATCTTAAATCTTGCCAAAAGCGATATTTTAAATTGACAAATGCCAAATCGTTATTAATGTACCAAAAACATAACCTAAAATAATTTGTAAAATTACATTTTAATCTGCAAAACACCAAAAAAACCTTTAACAAGGCGAGTTCGGATAGTCAGAGGCTGGAGCGGAACAAAAGTGGAGTTTTTTAGAGTGCTTTTAAATGACATTTTAGCGTGTTAAACTGTCACTAATCGGACTAAACCGAACGCTAAAAGGGTCGTTTGGAGTAAAAAGTGTTAAAGGAACTTGGCAGACCGAACGCAATGACAGATGATATTCTGATGTATCAAATGTCATTCTGACTTGTTTTTTATGTAGGGCATTATATATTGCTAAATTAAGCAGAACGACCCACGGTAATATCAATTTATTAAATGACATTTTAAAATAATATTCCTAAATACCTAGTTTTGTTGGAAATAATATCAAAATTTACCCTAAAGACGTTTGATGAAAAATAACCTTCAAAATCTTTTGACATATGACATCGTGGACTACGAAATGCCAAAATTGTTTTAAATAATTGTTAACAAAAATTATTTAAAATAATTTGGCATCAACCCTTTAATAATGTCAAATATAAAATGCTTTGACAAATATTTCAAATGAAATGCTAATGTGTCAGATACCAAAATTCACCTAAAACCTTTCAACAATTACTCAAATACTGCTGGTATCACAAAAAAAATGTTTGATTTTCTACAAAACCAATTATTTTTTAAAAAATAAAACTAATAAACTGTGTATAATTTTTATTTACAAATAAAATATATATTCAACAATATTAAGTGGTAAATTGAAAAAAAAATGGATCAAATAAATATTCCTTTAGATGTTTTTTTATTCAAGTTTTTAAAAAAATATGTAAGTGAGGATTATAATTAATAACTAATGTATGTCTTTTAAAATTGACTAAGGGTGACTGACCTTAACGTTCTAAATAATTAGAAATCCTAAAAAAATTGACCTAACAATCTTCGAGGGATGACAGACATTTATATTTGCTAATGTCAATTATTGAATTTTATCTGCTTTCTGTCATACATTGATCTAAATCGCTCATCTAAAATCCTTTAATGAGTGACAGTCTAATTGATCACTGATAATGTGACATTTAAACGTCAATTATCAAAGGAGACCTAAAATATTTTGACAGATGACATTTTTAGATTACTAAACATGAAAAGTGCACTGCAGTCCTTTAGACAGGTGACACTCTAACAGGTCAAATACCAAAATTGGCCTAATGAATTAAAACTTTTCAGCTAGGTGCCAAAAAATATGCAAAAATACTTTAAGAAGTGATACATTGAAGTTAATCGATTTGAAATCTTGCCACAAACGATATGTTAGACTGACAAATGCCAAATCGATTAAGCATTCTTTGACATAACATATTAATGTCTCAAAAATATAAATTAACCCTAAAATAATTTATAAAATTATATCTTATTGTGTCAAATACAAAAATTAATTAACAGATAATAATATTCTGGTGTGAAATACCAAAATTTTATGTACCGCATTAGGCAGAAGGAACCACGGTTTTATCAATTTAGTAAATGACATTTTAAAATAATTCGAAATTTATTATTGGAAAAAATACCGAAAATTTACCCTAAAAGGCGTTTGATGTAAAATAACCTTCGAAATCTTTTGACCTAATGACACCACAGACTATGAAATGCCAAAATAATTTTAAAATACTTTGACAGGCGAAATACTGTTAACAAACAATATTTAAAATAATTTGACAATCTTTAATTATGTCAAATATAAAACGCTTTGACAAATGATATTCTAAATGACATGTGTCAAATACCAAAATTGACCTGTCATGACAAGTTTAAGAGTCAGGATGTGTGTCCGAAACGAGAATTGACTAATTAATTGATATGAACTAATAGGGGATGGTTTTTTCCATTACACTAAAGCTAAATTGGTGTTTTAAAAAATTATGTCAGTCATCGTTGTCGACTTTCAATTCCTCTTGCAGGCATTGCAACTCCTTGATCTTGTCCAAGAGCTGCTTTCTGAGTTTGATGGCAGTGCTTCTGAGATCCTTGCCCTGCTGTATCACGGTTTGTACTTTGATTAAGGCCGTCCTTTGCTGCTGCTGATCTATCAGCCATCTGAAATAGAGATCAGCCCAAACGACGATGCTGACGGGCGCAACGCTAGGCCATATCGCTGATTTATTAGGTTCGTATGTGGGGTTTAAGAGCGCGGTTAGGACATCGGGCCTGTTTAAGTACGACCATAGGCTGGTAGTTTTTTTCTGAAGCTCTATGGAACTCCGTTCGTATTCCGAATTGCCCAAAAATGTACCTACGAATAAATAAAACATTCGAACGTCCATGGTCGAAGCTAAAATTTTTATAAAGAACTTACCAAATTGACTGAAATAGGAATGTTCGAATAATGTAATGAGCATTTCGGTTTTGTATTCGAAACTACATGGAAATTGATAATGCAGTTGTTGTAAACAATCTAAAAATATCAAAAATGTCGGTTGGATGCCTTTAACTCTCGAATTCGAAAAACACAATTTCTGATGTCTTGTTTGGAATGGATAGCCTGCTTGAAGCCATTCCCGTTCTATGAGAGCTTGCAAACCTTCAACAAGAAAAATATAAGGGTTAGAGCTGCCATGAATTAGGCAATCCAACGTCCTGTCAGAATGGGAAAAAATGCTGACGATTGGCAAAAATAACAAATTTTGTTCATTAGTGTTGTAAAATCATTACAAATTTGTGAGTTTAAATTTTTGATAGGTGTTTTAAAAATTAAAAATCGAGGATGACGTAATATTTTTTGACCTCTAGAGATTTAAAATGCAACTATTTTTATTATAAAACAAGAACTATACATTACCTTCAAAAATCCGCAATTTCAAAAATATTGACCGTACCTTATAGCTTTGTCTTTGTATGAGAATTGTGAAATATTTTTAATATGGCTTTTTTTATTTTTCATCTTAAAAAATCAACAATTTCAAAAATATTGACAAAATCTTATATATGTATTTGTCTTTGTACGAGATTTAAGTATGCAATATTTTGAAAAACAAATTCTAACTTCAAAAATTTAATTTTAAAAATATTGACCGTACCTTATATTTTAGTATTTGTACGAGGATTGTGCAATATTTTTTAAGATTGAATTTTTTATTTTTTTACCTTCAAAAATCAACAATTTCAATAATATTGACTGAACCTAATATATTTGTCATTGTACGAGGATTATGCAATATTTTTTAGAATGGTATTTATTTTTTTATCTTCAAATATCAACAATTTCAAAAATATTGACTGAACCTTATATATTTGTCATTGTACGAGGATTATGCAATATTTTGAAAAACAAATTTTAACTTCAAAAATTTAATTTCAAAAATATTGACCGAACCTTATATTTTAGTATTTGTACGAGGATTATGCAATATTTTTAAGGTATTTATTTTTTTACCTTGAATAATCAACAATTTCAAAAATATTGCCCGAAATGTATATATTTATTTGTCAATGTACCAGGATTATGCAATAATTTTAAGGTGTTATTTTTATTTATTTTTAAAAATCAATAATTTCATTAATATTAACAGAAACTTCTATTTTAACTCTGTACGAGGATTATGCAATATTTTTAAGATGGTATTTTTATTTTTTTACCTTAAGAAATCGGCAATTTCAGACTTATATATTTGCCTTTGTACGAGGATTATGCAATATTTTTAAGATTTTAATCAACTCACAAATTTGCCGTTATTTGCAATAACTATCAACTATCCTATCAAACACCAATGAAAAAGTTAGGTTAACTAACTTGGCCATTTTGACAGGACATATCACTGTCTAATAGCGAAGATAATATTCGTCAGAAATCAAAGATCCACACTAAAAACCAAGGTGTACTGGAATAATTTTTGCTGTAGAACAAAGAGGTTTTATCATCTGGCAGAGAAACTAATGACATGACTCTAACCTAAAAAACTTATTTTGTTCTTATAGTAGAACCATTGTCTATATATACAGACAATGGTAGAACTAACGAATGTCCTATTAGTCAAATTTCAAACAGTTTATAGTTTTTTTTGTAATTTTATTTGGTACTTAAAAGAAAAGGCAACAATGTACCTGAAAAAAGCACAAAGTCGAAATAAATCAAATAAAATGTAACTGTGAAATAAATTTTGACTAAATATTTATTATTGTTTTCCCTTTTCAAGGGGAGTCATTGGTTAGGTTATAAACTTTGAAGCTCATATCTATGGATTTTGATGGTTTTTGTCAGTTTCCACTAATGGGAGGGATCATATCATTTTAATGCCATCAAAATTTTCAAATCGACCAAAATTGGAACTTGATAGTTCTTAGTGTGAACCCTTTATAATATTATCTTCTATTTACACAACCACAATACCTCTAACAGTTCTACAATCCGGATTCAAAATAACTTGAGCCAAAGATGTTACAACCAAAGTACTGTCCTGTCCATTGGCGCCGTGAACCAGCACTGAAGCGCCATCTTTATCCAAACATTGAGCCACTAAACAAGCTGCATTTAAAGTATTTTGTATATGGCCCAACCAGTTAGCGCTGCGCGACATCCATTTGTCAGAGGACGAATTGGGATCCAAACAAGCTAAAAACATGTTATTTTTTTATACAGTCCACCCGATATTTGGCAGTAATTATATTAAAAAAAAACAAAATGCTGAAACAGGTCGATTTTCCACCTCCTCGCCAAAAATAGTTTCAATTATATAAAGTAATATATATCAAAGTTTTTTATGTGTCAATCTTGTATTATATTGTATTTTTGAAATCTACATAGAAAAATAGTGAACTTGTTATACCCAGAGTCATCATTTTTGATATATTCATGTTTTCAAATATTTGGGGTGTTTAAAAAATGCAAATATGTCCTAAATTTCTTAACATTTTAATTTGTTTTTGTTAAGGTAAATTTATTATTTTCTTTATTTAGTTATTAAGTTACTAATATCATAATATACAAATTTAGTTCATAACATAATATAGATATTCTCCTTAAAACTACCCTTTCAATGATACACATGGTATTATCCTCTATTTAAAATAAAGGGGTGAGAAAATGGAAGACACATGACCTGTTTAAATTAAAAATCGATCTGTTTTAACATTTTTTTTTTTAATCTAATAATTACTACTAAATATTGGGTCGACTGTTTTTAGTTAACCACTCTGTATAATCAGCTAAAATTGCATAAATTATTCTTTAGTTGAGTCCTATTTGAGACAGAGATAGAATTGAATGTTCATCTTCTGAAATTTCTTGTGTGAGAGATACATTCAACATGCATTTCCAATCAAGATCAAATCATAAATTACAAAAATAAAATAAAATTAATTACAATATCAACTCCTCACAACACACAAACACTAAGAAAAATCTCAAATCAATTTGAATTCCTTAAGTTGCTATGCGTTGTACTTTTAATTAAAACTACCTTCTATAAATTTGGACAAGTGTTCCAAAACGGACCCGTCGCACTTTGAGACCTTATCTAAAGGTCTGGAAGTCTTTTTCCATTGATTGTAATAACCCTCTGGTTCAGTACCTCCACCTTTGCTTTTACAGTAATTAATATAAGTGGAACTTCTTGTATCGATTATGTATCCCTTTTTGTAAGGCCCCAAAACGGAATTTAAAATTTTTTCGTCAGCTTTGCACCTTCTGTTTGCATTATTTAACATGGGTTGGCTGCTTCGAAGTAGTACTGTTCCATTTTCATGTCTTTAAATAAAGAAAATCTACTTTATATGTGCAAATACATATAAAAAGTAGTAAAAACAATGTTTTATTATCTATTTATTAATGAACTGATAAAATCGTAATTCAATACCTGTAACTCAGAATTGGGAAACGCCCCCCTTCCCTAAAATTCGCCGATGCAATAATAGTTTCATCATCAATACTCTTAGGCACAACCAATGTAGTTCCATAACTATTGCATACTCCAAAAGTTTTATTGACATGTGATACCCTCCACTCATCGCTTCCAATCAATTTGGTGAACTCGATTTCTAAATCAAATAGTGTGTGTCCATCTTCTAGAATGCTATACATAGGCCTGTAGAAGAAGGGGTATAATAATTCTGGTTTTTCTAAATTGGATAAACGCAAAATGGATAAATAGACGTTATTGAAATCTTCGGGATGAGCTATATCTAACTGTAGAATCCTAAAATCCTTGCATTTTAAAAATATTGAGCCCCCATTTTGAGCAGAATTGTTATTTAGCACCCTTCTTTCTACAGAATCTATACATTGATGTAACAACTATAAAATAATTGGCGTTAATTAACTGAAAGCAGATTAAAACGATTCAGTACTCACCCAGAGTTCTTGTACATCCTCTTTTTTCGACGACACAATCAAATGATGCCCCGTAATACATAACCTACCGTCGACAGGATCGAAAAAGGGGCTGTGTAAAATTACCCCGTCTAATTTTGGCGTTTTTATCATTTCGGCGAATTCCATCGCCAACGAACGTGATCATTACTTCTTTTTATCCATTGCAAGTTTCAATATTTTTTGATTATAAAAAAAAATGTTAAACGTCAACAAAAATTTGACAAAACTTAAATGAAGTTAGCAGTAGTTAATAAGTTTTTAATATAAAAGTGAAGAAATAAATCAACGATTTTATATAAAAAGAAGAATGGCTTAATAACCTGAAAGTAAAAGAATTTTCATTGAAAAAAGAAGAAGCGCTTAGTTATCTAATAGTAGAAGACCCGTAACTGCGAAGAATTTAATATGAAAATTAGAAGACAGATGGCACTAATAATTTAAATTTGAGCAACCATATTTAGTCCACTATCTCTAATTTACAATATTACGTTTTTGAATTAATACGCGGCTCTGTACTATAATATACCTATAAATTATTGAATATTAATAGATACATTGAAATTGATTCAGTTTACATAACGAGAGAATGATTAAAAGTTTTTTGTGTTTAAAATATATATTTATCTAATTACTTCCCACTCTCTATTAACGTCGGTTCTATAAAATTGACGCCGTTTCATTATTTTACTACCTACTCTATTTTGAGCAGTTTTTTCATCCTTGAGATAAACACTCTTTTATTCTAAACAAGACAAGACAAAAAAAACAATGAGAAGTAACACCGGAAGTCGTAGAGTTATTTTTAAAGCGGGAATAAATATATCTGAAAGAGTAAATATTGATATACCTAGATAAGAAATATTATAATGATTTGAATGTTCCACTTTCACAGATAAATGCTACAATTTCTCTATTGATAAAAGCAATCGTGTGATGTGAAATCGTAATTACAATGAAACGACTACTATTGAAAATTAAATGAGATTTTTTAATTCATAATAGACAAAAAAAATACATCAACACAATAAAACATGTTTTACAAACGCATATCGCCTCTATTCGCTATGTGTTTAAGGTCTATTTTCTTTTAAATACATCATCCATCCCAGATTTATTGCTATTTCTTCATCGAGAGGAAAGAGAGATGAGTTCGTTCGATTCGTATACTCGGTGGAACTCCTTTCCCATTCAGTTTCCGTGAGAACTGATTCCGAGGAGTTCCATCAAACACAGGAAATGTGGATTATGGAATGCGACGTTGTCGCATGTGGAAATTTATCTTTCATTTCAAGATATTAAATATTTTGTATTCCAGGTTTCTATCGATAAAAAAATTGCCTAGTGGTGAAGAATGCTTTACGCCTAGCACATAATGAGTAATTGATTTAATGTAGCGAGAATCGTTAGAGATAGAACATTTATTACGGATGCATGGATTGCACCGTTGAATGCAGTACACGTTAAGTTTAGAATCCTGAATATTGGAGAACGGCCTAGAAAAACCATAGCATTGAATAGGGAGAAATACCTGCTATCCCACTACCGCGGTAGAGGTATAACCATGTTTTTTAACGTACAATCACGCTGGTGGACAGGCGAGTCTGAGACTGACAATATAGTAAAATTTGCTTTTACATAGAATTGTTTCATTTTATTTTAGAATTCGTTTTATTTTTTGAAAGTGCCTATTTCTTTGTATTTTTTTAAAGTAATTTTTAGATACTTTTTAGCAAAACTGAGCATTTTATTTGTAAACGTAACTTTCGCCATGTTAAACAAACAAAAGCTACCTACACCCCAAAACAGTACTAGTACTAAAATGTGTGCTATACTGTGATCGCTGACTGCGAGCAGGAGTATTTCTGTCCTCTCCTTGTTATCGAAAGGGCGTAGTTAAACAAGTTTTTCTCTTTTTTTACTTACGTCCAAATTTAATTGAGTGCATAATCTTTATTTCTCAGGATTCGTAGGTTTAGTAGGTTATATACTGTATACAGTGAGCATCATATAAGTCTTACCCCCCTAACTAACTCGTTACTGGAGTCTTGTTAGAAAAATCGCTGAGACACGTCGATTTCTGATTTCTACAGTGTACATTTTTGTATGAATAGTTTACCCTTAATTTCATCCCTTACTGGAAGGGAGCTGCCCTTTCGAAAAATTTAAATGGCATGGGGTGGTGAGTGATAGCTCATTTGAAAGGGGGTTTTATTCTCTATTCAACCATGCAAAAAAATTTGAAATTTGCTTCATTACGTGGTGATTTATTAATGTTTAAAAATAACAAAACATCACAAATAGGAAAGCAACTAAACTAACAGTGACCTTATCTAATGGCAAAAAGTCTTACTCTACGTCTGAACCAAAACCGATATCATGCAGGGCCGAATTTTAATTCTAAGGATGAGTGCGCTACGTTAATTTCCGTTATTCTGAAACAATAATTAGTCGAGATTTAATGAAGCAAATTTCAAAATTTTTTGCGCGGTTGAATAGAGAATAAAACCCCCTTACGAATGAGCTATCACTCACCACCCCATGCCATTTAAATTTTTCGAAAGGGTTGCCTCCCTCCAGTAAGGGATGAAATTAAGGGTAAACTATTCATACAAAAATGTACATTGTAGAAATCAAAAATCGACGTATCAAACATTTTAGCTGTCTCTGGATATTAAACGCAATATTAATAAATTGATAAATTTAGGTTCAGCGAAAATGTAATTTCTTAGCAATCAAACTAATAAAGTATCACTGTACACTTCTGAAAGGTAATGTAAATGTTAGTGTTATGAAACTTATTAAGTTGCAAAGCACTGCATCATCCTTTTAAACATAAATTATAGTTAATATATAATTTAAATGTATGTATTTTGAAATGTTAGTTTCACATCAGTCTAAAATCCCTACCAGGTTTGTCGAGATCCGGCAACGTCGCCCGCTGGGTACCGTGTATACGCATTGTAGCCTTGAATTCCATTTCATTCATAAATTTTCTTTCATTTGATGTGACTAAACTAAGGACTAAACGTAAACTTTAAATCGGTAACTAGAAACATCAAAGTGTACACGTCCGTCTCGACAATATTATGTCCCATCGCGAAAAGTGTTTACACCTTAGTTTTGAAGCTATCGAAATGTATGCATCGTGTGTTGTGTAGTGTAATGGTGTTCCTAATGTCAAAATAATCATCCATTCATTTTTCTAAACACAATCATGGCTGACGATTTTAAAGTTAGGCTGGAGGAACGTCTTAAAATCAAAATCGGTAAGTTAATCTTTTCGTATATCTTGATAATCTCCATCTATACACTTTCGATGTGGTTTAAAATCCATAGGCTTTCTCTGCATCGAAAATTGCGTAGGAGTAAAGTTGGTTTCCTCTGCAGGTGTTGAAAATACTTGAATTTTGGGGTTTTTAAACTTGGTGGGAGCGTTAAATCTTGTTATTTTGTTACAGGGGAGGTTAAAAACTTACCTGCCAGGTTACACGGATCGGCTATTCAAAGGGATGTGTATTGTACATTGAGTTTGGACCAAGAGGAAATATTTAGGACTTGTACAGTGCATCAAACTTTGAGGTAAGTTTGAAAATACGATCAAATACAAATGTTTATATATTAAAAATGCTATGGAACTTTTAAAAACAGTCAAAATTTGGTCTAACCTACGTAAGTTTAGGTTTAGGAATGGTCATTTTCAAAATATTTGTGGGGTTTTTGAATTTTATCCTGTTGACATACTTTTGTAAAAGATTCTTTTTGTAAATGAATTAAAAATTAAAAAACCAACATTAACATACTTAGGTACTATATTAAATACCTGAAGTAATTAGTTATTTTTTTATTTGATTTTGATGTTGCTATTTTTATAAAAATTGACAAATACCTATTTAAAAATTAAATATCTACCTTATTTTTTAAATTAAGAAAATTTATTTGTTTTTAATCACTATATGATTTATCAAAAGTAAAAAAGTACTTACATTCTAATATTAATTAGTTGATCTATTGTTTAATTTACTTGTTTAATTACCTAATGAATTATGAAGAAAAATATTACCTAAAAAGAGGAACATGAAATAAATCTCTGCTGGAGGGTGCACAATAGGCCTAATAAGACCTAAGTGAAGTAGCGCTTCTTATTTATGTCCTCCTTGTTAAAATTTTGCTCTTTGGTAGTTTCCTGTTAGCTTTAAAGGTTTTTTTGCTGCTAATGCACTGCTAGATATAGCTAAGATACTGCCAAAATTGCTAAGGTATTTTCAATATTGCTAAGGTATTGTCAGTGTTGCTTTGGTGCTGCTAATAAGTAGAAACAGAAAAGCTCTTGTTAAATAAGAAAAAGTACTTACATTCTAATATTGTTTGCTTTACTGGTTAAATTAATTATGGACAAAAAGACTGCCTCTGGAGGATGTACAATGGGCATAATGAGACCTAAGTGGAGTAGAGCTTGTTATTTCTGTGCCCCTTGTTAAAATTTTACTCTTCAGTAGTTTCCTGATAGTTTTAAAAGTTTTTTTGCTGCTAAGGCACTGCTAGATATAGCTAAGATACCGCCAAAATTGCTAAGGTACTTTCAATATCGCTAGGGTATTGTCAATGTTGCTCTGGTGCTGCTAATAAGAAGGTACAGAAAAGATCTTGTTAAATAAGAAAAATTATTTACATTATAATATTAATTGTTTACTGGTTAAATTAATTATTTATGGACAAAAAGACTGCCGATGGAGGATGCACAATGGGCATAATGAGACCTAAGTGGATTAGAGCTTCTTATTTATGTCCCCCTTGTTAAACATTTTGCTCTTTGGTAGTTTCCTGATAGCTTTAAAGGTTTTTTGCTGCTAATGCACTGCTAGATATAGCTAAGATACTGCCAAAATTGCTAAGGTACTTTCAATATCGCTAACGTATTGTCAATGTTGCTCTGGTGCTGCCAATAAGTAGGAACAGAAAAGCTCTTGTTAAATAAAAAAAAGTACTTATATTCTAATATTAATTGTTCACTTTACTGGTTAAATTAATTATGAACAAAAAGACTGTCTATGTAGAGATCTTTGCCGCTGGAGGATGCACAATGGGCATAATGAGACCTAAGTAGAGTAGAGTTTCTTATTTATGTCCACTTCAGTAGCTTCTTAATAGCTTTAAATATTTGTTTGCATGCATTACAGGGTATTACTAAAATACTGCCAATATTGTTATGGCGCTGCCAATAAATAGAACAGAAAACCTTTGATCAAATAAGAAAATGTACTATTATTTAGTTGAAATGTTGTTTAATTTACTTGCTTAATTAATTATGAACAAAAAGACTATCTAAAAATAAGCCTATGTAAAGAAAGTCTAAAATATTTTTATGTCCCCCTTGTTAATATTTAAAAAGACTAAAAATGAGCCTATATAAATGAAGTCTAAAATCTTTTTTCCGCTGGAGGATGCTCAATGGACCTAATGAGGCGTGAGTGCAATAGAGCTTATTTATGTCCCCTTGTCAATACTTTGTTCTTTAGTTGTTTCCTAATAGCTTTAAAGGTTTGTTTACTGCTATTGTCAGATACTACTAGGTATAGATAAGATATTGACAATATCGCTAAGGTATTTGCCAATATTGCCATGGTGTCGTCAATAAATAGGAATAGAAAAGTTCTGGTCAAATAAGAAAAAGTGCGTACATTCTAGTATTACCTAATTAATTGAAATATTGTTTTTAATTTACTTGCTAAATGAATTAATTATGAACAAAAGGACTACCTAAAAATACGCCTATGTAAAGGAAGTTTTAAATATTTTTCCGCCGGAGGATGCACAATGGGCTTCGTGAGGCCTAAGTGAAGTAGATATTCTTGTTTATGTCTCTCTTGTTAATATTTTGCTCTTCAGTAGTTTTCTAATAGCTTTAAAGGTTTCTTTACTGCTCAGACACTGTCGGGCATTACTAGGTATAAATAAGGTATTTTTAATATTGCTAAGTATTGTCAATGGTAATCCCAATATCTCTATGTTGTTTTCATAGTGTTATAATGTTTGCCTCCAATGAACTGTCAGGTATTACTAGATATAGCTAAGATACTGTTAATATGCCTAAGATATTTTTAATTCATTGACAATATCGCTATGATAATGCCAATATCATTATGATGTTGCCATTATTGTTCCTAATGCCCTGTCAGGCATTACTAGGTATATCCAAGATACTACCAATATTGCTAATGTATTTCCTATATTGTTAAGATATTTTCAATATCGCTAATGTATTTCTAATATTGCTAATGTAGTTTCAATATTATTAAGATATTTCCAATATCGCTAAGGTATTTCCAATATTGCTAATGTATTTCAAAGTATTGTTAAGTTATTTCCAATATCGCTAAGGTATTTCCAATATTGCTAAGGTATTTACAATATAGCTAAGGTATTGTCAATATTGTTATGGTAATGTCAATATCGATATGATGTTGCCAATATTGCTCCTAATGCACTGTCAGGCATTACTAGGTATATCCAAGATACTACCAATATTGCTAATGTACTTCCTATATTGTTTAGGTATTTTCAATATCGCTAATGTATTTTTAATATTGCTAATGTAATTCCAATATTATTAAGGTATTTCCAATATTGCTAATGCATTTCAAAGTATTGTTGAGTTATTTCCAATATCGCTAAGGCGTTTCCAATATTGCTAAGGTATTTACAATATAGCTAAGGTATTTCCAACATCGCTAATGTATTGCCAATATTGCTATGGTAATGCCAATATCGTTATGATGTTGCCAATATTGCTAATGTAGTTCCTATATTGTTAAGGTATTTACAATATCGCTAATGTATTTCTAATATTCCTAATGGAGTTCCTATATTGTTAAGGTCTTTCCATTATCGCTAAGGTATTTCCAATATCGCTAAGGTATTTCCAATATTGCAAATGCATTTCAAAGTATTGTTAAGTTATTTCCAATAATGCTAAGGTATTTACAATACTGTTAAGGTATTTACAATGATGCTAAGTTATTTTCAATACCGCTAAGGTATTTCCAGTGTCGCTAAGGTATTTCCAACATTGCTAATGTATTGTCAGTATTGTTATGATGTTGCCAGTGTTGCTTAGGCACTCTGGTAAACAAAAACGATCTACGGTATCGCCAATAGGAACGTCAATACCGGGATCTCGAAGTCCCGGGATCTCGGAGGAAAACCTGAAAATAGCGGGATTAGATTAGACCTAATCCCGGGATAAATCAGGGTTGTAATTTTCAAAACCACTTTGAATTTTTAATAACCATTTAGTCAAAAAGTGTGCAGCCTGAGAAATGTTTCTCTTCTACAGACTTTTTTGGAAATAAAATACATTCGAGGCTGCGAGATGTAACTTTAGACGCATTAATATTTGGAAGGTACCTACTTCAAAAAAAAATTATAAACCTAAAACTTATTTGTTGGTAATTACAACACCATTCTTTAAGTTCGTTTAAAAGGTTTTTTTTGTTAATTTTTGTGTTTTTTTAATTAAATATCCCGAAAATCCCTTCTGCAAAAATTAATGTAATTCCATGTAGGTACTGCCTAATATTCCACCAGGGTAACTCTTGAATTCGAGGAAATATAAAATCGGTTTTTTTTCTCTTTATCTGTCTCATTCTTTCCTAAAAATTTCTACCCCTGGATTCAAGAATAGATATCCAGTATTTTTGCTTAGTGTACATCTATTGCCAAAGTGATAGCACTCAAGAAAAATACGTACATCTACTGTCAAATGGAACACGTTTTACTGATAATGCACTGGTATTGCTTAGGTACTGTCAAGTAAAAAAAAATGATCTACTGCTAAGTGGAATTACCAACTACTGCCAATCCAATGCCATCTTCTGTCTGGAAGTAATTTTTATCTTACTCCACATCTACTGCCGAAGTGATAGTCTAATAGACCCATCGAGATTTTTTTAGTTATTCAAATATTATGATTCACACAGACAGTGCGTCAAAAGTTGAGAATGTTAAAAATAATTTATCTGGAAAATCTTATAAATTGAAAAAAACCTCACTTTAATATCTCTACCATGACGTTAGTTTAAAAATGGATCATGTACCTAGCTAATCTGAAAAATGGAATATCTATAAAGATACGCTCCACTTGACATAATAATTCATAAAAATCCTATCATAATCCATTAACGAATCTTATTGAAATCAATATGTGAAAAAATAATAAACGAATGAATGAACCAATTTAAAATCGCTATTAATAGCCACTTCATTCATGAAACTTATTACTGGTTTTAATTTTTAATGGACGTTCAATAGAAAGGTCAACAATATTTCAAGAAGTGGAAATAATTTTATAACAAGGTGCCTGGCTCCAAATTTAGAACCTTTTTTTCCGGCAGTTAAATTGATATTTTGATGTAATAACGTTTCCGAATTGAAATAGATACAGTGAAACCAAAAATAGTTTTATGATTTATACAGAGGTTTTTATAAAAAATACCAAATAGCATTTAATTGCGAATGCGGAAAATCCAACATCCTTTTTAATGACGAATTTATGGTTTGGGCGAGTTAGTTGGGTGTAAAAT